CTTTATCTGTGGACGGGCGACCCCCACAAAGAAAAATGCATCCCTAAAATAGCCTGGCACTATGAGACAAGGAGTCCTAGGAATGGAGGCCTGGGCCTCATTGACCCGGGGACAGAGACCAAAGCCTTGCAAATAAAATGGATCATTAAACTGCTGACAAATCCAGACACCGCTTGGAACAAGTTGGCATTAGACAGCATCAGGGCGGTGGCCCTTACCTGCTCCCCACCCAACATGTCGTGACTGTTCTGGGTCATGAATAAGGAATGGAGGATAACAACGGGACGCAGGAATCGGACTAGGAATAACAGAACAGAAGATGTCCGACCTCCCTCCCCGTACTGGCCGGTGCTGCTTCAACTCTGGAGGAGAATTTGTCCCACCAGGATCAACAGACCAAAGTCGAAAGACGAAATACTCAGACAACCGCTATTTGGTAATGAATGGATAACGAAGGAGGCCAACAACCCGATATATATGAAACAAAAATGGCTGTCATGGGTCAAGAATGGGATCTGGAAGATAGACCACTTGTGGAAGGAGGATAGAAAAGACTGGGCTACGGAGCAAGAGGTTAATGCACATCTGAAAGGATGCCACAGGAGAGAAACCAACTTGCAGTACCTAATTGGCTGTATCCCGCAAGAATGGAAGGATATCCTTGCCAAGGACGAGCCGTGGAGAAACGGGGACTGGGGCCTCTTGATCCAAGACACCCCTCCTACTAGAGCATACCAATTTTCCCACATGCAGCGTGATTCACCCACCAACGCCGTCATCCATTCCTTCCCGATAACCACCACGGGCTCAGATATGCCTGCCATCCATAATCGGGAAGTCGAGTGCTCCACACTAGAGTTTTTTCTCCTCAGGAAGGTCAGGGTCATAGGCACATGGCCGAAGTCGATTTTTAGACCAGATACGACTATCCGAGCCTTAGAATTTGACCCGGAAGAGTGGGCATGGACCTCAGCCAGCAATCGGAGTGTCAAGACGAAAACTCCGGTTCAAGATTATACCGTTAAATTTGGATACGGACTACTACTGAAGACCAAAGACCCAGATCCCATTATCTTAAACAGATGGCGAAAGCTGGTGGGACAGGAAGCCGACAAAATCCAACAGATCCCATGGAAAAAATATGCACAGATCAGACCAGTTAAGATCAGAAGTCTGCAGTGGTTGATAGCGTACGCTGCCTTACCAGTGAACCAATGGCTGCACACTAGGCGTAAAGCTACTAATCCGGATAGCTCGGAGATATGTACAGTCTGCTCGGCAGGAGCGGTAGAGGACATAGTTCACTGCCTGGTGCACTGTGTGGAGGCGACAGACTACTGGGCGAGAGCCTCTTCCCTGTGGGACTCCCTCTACTCTTCCCCTTTCCCTGAACAACCCATCCAACTCGGAGGGCGGAATCGAATTGGTTTGAACTCATCAGGAAGGTGACCCTATGGGTGATCTGGAAGGAGAGATGCAGCAGATCAATTGAAGGACTATCAAATCCAAGGGACAAGGTATGGAAAGAGTCCAAGTCGATTATCCAAGCAGAGATATTGTGCAGATGGAGGAGAATCAAGCTGAAATGGCCCGGGGACGAAGAGCAGCGAAAGAAAGTGAGATCGAAATTTAGCAGGAACTGGCTGATTAGCGGTAAGGTGGCCGAGATCCGGGAAGACCGGGTGAGCTGGAAGGACTGGCACAACTCGATTCCGGATAGGTTTGTACGGCAACAGTCACCAACGGAGGAAGCAACTACGACTTGAAGGGTTGGGGTCGACGGAGGTTTCACCGGATAAGGTTCCAGGAGACCGCTTCCAAAGGGTCTACCTGCCCTGTCACCTCAGCCGTTCGCCACAATCCAGCACGGGCCGCTTGTGGCTCTAGAGGAAGAAAGGGGAGCAAAACTGCGTTCGTCAGTAAGAATCATCCGAGCCAACAGGAAGTGCCGCCGATTGAAGATCGGAAAAAAAAAAAAAAAAAAAAAAAAAAAAAAAGGTGGGGGATACAGAGGGATCCGGTCGACACATCACTGGAAGGCGGAAGCAAGGCGGGAAAAGTTATTATTTAAAGCAGCCAAACAAGGGTAGGGTTTAGGGTTTAGGGTTCAACACAGCTCAAAGGAGGGGGGAGAGTAGCTGGATCTAAGGAAATCACAGCAAGTAAGGGCAGGTTAGGGATGAGGGACAGCATGGGTGGGCAACAGCACGGGAGGAACTCTTTCTAGGTATAACAGATAAATCTGGCAGGACTGCAACCGTAGACCTGAGAGGGAAGAGCGACTCTGGGCAAGCTGACAGTCAATCCTCCACCCAACGTGGAGCAATCAATGCTGTTCAGGGGTCCTCCGGCCAGACGGGAGTAAGCGTGAGTTGGTTGCTGTGATGTATCATACTTTGACTTGCCGGTGGAATAGGAACCAGACTGTCGCTCCCCAGAATGGAAGGAGTCGGGACCATAAGGCCCTGTTTTTTGGTAAAAAAAAAAAAAAAAAGAATACAAAGAACTGTCATGAAACGGTATTCACCACTTCGCAGTAGCTGATGCAGATCCCAGGGCTCGATCCCTAGCTCCCCACCTTAGTTCACCTTACCTGTGTACAGTAACTGTGTCAACCCGTAGATTTGAACCTGCGACCTGCAGGACCACCAGTGGTAGGTAGGATCTCGTAGGTTACAAGGTATAGGAGATTCGAACTGTAGATCTGTCGGGTAGGAGTCTAGACAGTCCAGAGGTCGTAGCTGTAGACTGTCCGAAGGGTCAATGTCGTAGCTGCTACTTACCTGAAAGGGCAGAGTCGTAGCTGCTACAGTACCGAAAGGCCAAGCAGATGGTTCTAGAAGTGGCCTTTCGGAGTTAGCCCCAGTTTAGGTAGAGGCCAGTGGGCAAGTGGTGGAAGTCCACCACGCAGAGTCAGCAGTCCCAGTTCAGTCAGTCTGGTCCAGTCAAGCAAGTACCGTCTGGGACTGTGTGCACGGTGGGCCAGGGAAACAGGGCAGACCAACGAGGCACAGAAGTATAAATCAAGAGGCTGCGCCCAGCCATTCATTCATTCCTGCGGAAGCCATGCGGAAGCGCTGCCTCAGCGTCTTGTGCGAGGAGGTCTGCA